CTTTGGGAGCCCGTTCCAGACCTTGGCCACTCTAACTGTGAAGAAGTTCTTCCTAATGTCCAATCTAAATCTGCTCTCTGCTAGCTTGTGGCCATTATTTCTTGTAACCCCCAGGGGCGCCTTGGTGAATAAATACTCACCAATTCCCTTCTGTGCCCCCGTGATGAACTTATAGGCAGCCACGAGGTCGCCTCTCAACCTTCTCTTGCGGAGGCTGAATAGATCCAGCTTCTCTAGTCTTTCCTCGTAAGGCTTGGTCTGTAGGCCCTTAACCATACAAGTGGCCCTTCTCTGGACCCTCTCCAGGTTATCCGCATCCCTCTTGAAGTGCGGCGCCCAGAATTGCACGCAGTACTCCAACTGCGGTCTGACCAGCGCCCGATAGAGGGGAAGTATCACCTCCTTGGACCTATTCGTCATGCATCTGCTGATGCACGATAAAGTGCCATTGGCTTTTTTGATGGCTTCGTCACACTGCCGACTCATGTTCATCTTGGAGTCCACTAGGATTTGAGAGTGCTGTAACTGTGTAGCTCTATAAAAATGTTCTAAATGACAGCACTGTAAAATGTGCATGGAGCACTTTTTTTACACACCCTAAAATTTAAGCAAGTTCTGATCTTCAGGCATAAAATCTACAGAAAGTTCCTAAGTTCATGATATGTGAAGATTTACCATGCCCGGGGATTTCCACTGCCCTCTTAATAACCACCAACTCTTGAAGGTTTCATTTATCTGCTATTTGCATATTCGTTGGGTGCAGACATACCAGTGAGGCTGAAACCAAAGGTGGCAACTTGCAACCATACTGGTTAAAGTCTAACTACTAAGCTATCTTCTTCCATAGATGCAGAAAGAGTTAGAGCAGTAGAAATATTTTCTGGCAACATTAATGCACTGATCGCAAACAGTATTGACATAGTGCTTCTGTGACAGGCAGCTACAAGCTCAACTTGACTCCTTTTCTGACGGTTTTCCTTAAATTCTAGTTAGATTCTTTTACTTAACAAAAGGTTTTAAGAAACTCTTCTTCCTTCAAAGTTGGGCCAGATTTTTCTCTAAAAAACTTAATTGATTACTATAGAATTTCACTGCATAACACTAATCAGGTTGCTTTTTACAGGATTTTCCTCTAAGAGTTAGCAAACACATCACAAAGGTAACAAACTGCACATGGGGATTTCCCTGTCTGTCACCTCTGAATCATGAAGTAATTGTGTAAGCCAGTTGGCTAATATCAAAAGGGATGATGAGTACTACAAGATATTTCAGTATAATGGCAATTCTCACAATGTATGCTGAGCCTTTTTAAACTCCCGACTTTTGGTTTCCTGCCATTACTTCAGAACCTTAGCTTTTATTTCAAAGAAAGTTTCTAGCCTTCTGGGTTGCAAGGGAAGGTTTGAAACTGTGATCACTAGATGCTATAGCAGCACAAGACCAATGTAAAGAACACTGGAGTCTTAAATAAAAAAAGAGATGTAATGATTCTTGGGACCCCAGCTCATGATTTTAGAATTTTTGGAGGACAGGGAAATTATAAAGCACCAACAGGAAACTCACTGATGTGTCATATAGAGTGAGGAAAGCAAAAAGTGGAAGGAAGGGTAGATTTGCACCTTACAGACTAATCAAAGTAGCTATATAGCACAAGCTTTCATGAGCTGAAGCTTGTCATAACCAAGTCGAGCAAGTGCCCATGTCACAATAGACCGTATGGACCGACCTCCACTCCCAAATTTGGTCATGGAAGCGCGCTGTGATGTCAGCCATTCCGCGCTCTATTTAGCAGCCCGTCATTGGCTACTCTAAACGTATAAAAGTCCGTGCAGTTTCCGCCCACGTTGGAGAACTCCGTTTACACCTCGGAGTAAACTTGGCGGACTGATCACCCACTAACGACGCCCCATCACCGACCTCCCCGACGTACCCCCTTTCCTGTGCGCTCGGTAATTCGTTTATGGAACGTCTCATCTCGCTTCAAGGGCTCTTGCGATGTTTCTCTCACTACGTTTGTAACTCGTTTGTAACTGCAATTAAGCCAGTTCTTCCTACGCTGCACACATCAGTAGCGTAAGTAAACAACCTTGTTGCAACCAATACGCATCCGTGCCTACTTCCACTCCACGCGTCAAAGTACCCACCTAACGTTCTGGGTTCCCGGCAAGGGCCCCAGCAATCACCTGGCCACCACAAAGCTTACATCTTTTCACAGCATCTGAAAAAGTGCAGAAAGGAGAGAGAAATTAGAATATAAAAGACAAGAGCGGGAGGGAGAAGGAAGGAGAGTGTGAAGTGGCAGTGCTGTAGGAGGGAGGACATGCCACAGATCCCTAATTTCTGAGCATAATGATAAAATGGATGTTAGTTTATTCCTTTATTGGTACTGAAGCATGTAGGGAATAGTGCTTGGCCTACTATGTGACAATGAGCATTTGATTCTTTTAACTAGAAGAAAAATCTTACTCCTCCTCACAAGCCAAGGATGCATTGCATGTCTTGATGTAAGGCAGGGGTGGCGGTTGAGTAATTTGACAGGCTAAATAATGCTTAGCTTAGCATCAATTTCACATTTTGTGTCTATTATTAAGGTGCTGTTTATGTGTTTGGAGCTATGCAGTATAAAGAAAGAAACAAGTTCTTTCCTAAGGAGCAAACATGCTAAACATGTATGCTGAAAAGCTTTCACTCCTGTATGTTCTTAAGTTAGAGAAAATCAG